TTCCTGAATTTAGGAGGGATCCTCTCTTTGGGGAGGGAGGGTCCTTAATTTAGGGGGAGTCTTCAATTTGGGGAAAGTCCACAATTTTTGGGAGGGGGCCTTTTTAGGGGGGTTCCTCAATCTAGGGGGGTCCTCAATTTGGGATGTTCTTCAGTTTGGGGTGTTCCTCAATTTAGTGGATTCCTCAGTTTTGGGGGTTCCTCAGTTTAGGGGGATCCCTCAGTTTAGGGGGATCCCTCAATTTAGGGGAATCCTCAGTTTGGGGGGATCCCTCAATTTAGAAGAGTTCCTCAATTTGAGGGATTCCTCATTTTGTGGGGTTCCTCAGTTTAGGGGGTTCCTCAATTTAGGGGGGTTCCTCAATTTAGGCAGATCCCCCAATTTGGGGGGATTACTTAGATTGGTGGGTTCCTCAATTTAGGGGGTCCCTCAATTTGGGGGGATCCCTCAATTTAGGGGGGATCTTCAGTTTAAGGGGGTTCCTCAATTTGGGGGGATCCTCATTTTGGGGGGATCCCTCAATGTGGGGGGTTCCTCAATTTAGGGGGATCCTCAATTTAAGGGGGGGCTCAATTTAGGGGGATCCTCAATTTGAGGGGATCCCTCAATTTGGGGGGATCCCTCAACTTGGGGGTGGTTCTCAATTTGGGGGGGGCTCAGTTTAAGGGAGGGCTCAGTTTAGGGGGATCCCTCAATTTAGGGGGATCCTCAATTTAGGGGGATCTTCAATTTAAGGGGAGGCTCAATTTAGGGGGATCCTGAATTTGGGGGGATCCCTCAATTGGGGGGGGTCCTCAATTCAGGGGGATCCTCAATTTAGGGGGGTTCCTCAATTTAGGGAGTCCCTCAATTTGGGGGAATCCCTCAATTTGGGGGAATCCCTCAATTTAGGGGCATCTTCAGTTTAGGGGGTTCCTCAAGTTAGGGGGGGTTCCTCAATTTAGGGGGATCCTCAATCTGGGGGGATCCCTCAGTTTGGGGGGTTCCTCAAATTAGAGGACTTCCTCAATTTGGAGGACTTCCTCAATTTGGGGCATTCCTCAATTTGGGGGGTTCCTCAATTTAGGGGGATCCCTCAATTTAGAGGGATCTCTCAGTTTAGGGAGTTCCTCAGTTTGGGGGGTTCCTCAGTTTAGGAGAGTTCCTCAATTTAGGGGAGTCCCTCGATTTGGGGGATCCTTCAATTCGGGGGGTCCCTCAGTTTAGGAGGGGCCCTCACTTTAAGGACAATCATTGATAATTCCAGTGTGTTTCTACTTCCCAAATGGACATTTGGGATTTTCCCTCTTTCCCCCTCCCAAAACCCACTTTTCCTCTCACCCAGGACCACGCCCGGTGTGGAAAATCCCACCCGGATCCCTCCCATCCACATCCAAACCCCTCAGTTTTCCAGAAGCTTTGAGCTTTTCCCTGCATTCCAGAGGGGTTTTTTTAAATCCTCCGTCGCTCCCTTCCCTGCAGGAGGTGGGAATTCCCCCCTGGCTGGGGCTGGAACACCCCCTGGATCAGCATCCCAGGGAGGGAGCACGTCCACAGCGGGCACGGAAAAGGCGCTTATGGCTCTCAAGGACGTGGATTAGGAACCTTAAGACCTCTTAATTTGATCCTAGGGCTGCATTCCCTGTCTCTGCCAGGACTCTGGGAATGGTGGAGAGCTGGGTGACGCTCCCAAATCCCTCCTTGGAAACGAGCCGGACATTAGGAAGAGATGGAGGAGGAGATGGATCCGTTGGAGACGCCTCGTTTCTGGTGGCCAAGCAGCAGGGAGAGGCTTCCTACCTCTTCCAATATCCATGGAGAAGATCCATGGATGAAGGAACAGCCATTGCTCTGCGCCGGCCGCCTCCAGGAATTCTCGTTGGAAAAGCCAGCTTGGGATGGGAGTGGAGGACTTGAGGGATGTCTGGGTGCAGCTGGAATGTTGGTGAGGATGAGCAGGAAGGTCTGGATGAGGAAGGAGAAGACGTGGCACTTGGTGGTGTCCTCAAGCTCTTGGATCATGTCCACCAGGGACATCAGGACTGGGAGACAACCAGAGGGTGAATCCTTGGAACTCACAGAGGAGGGGAACAGGATGGGTAAGGAAATCACCACTAGTTCCTAAGAGGTAGGAAAAGGCACATCCCAAAGGGATACGGGGCCACCAACCTTAGGAAAGCCCGGGAGAAGTGGTGGAGTCCCCATTCCTGGAGGGATTTAAGGAAAAATGTTGGGAGTCCTCATCCCTGGAGGGATTTAAGGGAGAAGTGGTGGAGTCCCCATCCCTG